ATTTTCTTCTCTTTCCCTTTTCAAGAAAATCAGCGTCATGAACAAGCTCGGTTCATCCTGTTTCCTCAACACAATGGCTTTTGAAGAACATGCTTTTGAAGTGCATGTACCGTGGTGTTTGGGGACAAAGATGATGGTTGTGGTAGTAATAGGCTTCCTAGCACACTGATCAGATTCATATTTTTCCATTACAGTAAATGTACTTCAAGTAATAGAACTTACCAGCAACACTAACCAAGGCCATACTGTTCTTTTATTTCCTAAGAAATAACATTTTCAAAAGTGACAAAGGACTCTCTGACAAAGGCACAGTGATGGGAGTGAGAATGACCCAAGTAGCAAAAAGGGCCTCTCCGTGTGGTTAGCTTATTGCCCTACTTGGTTCCCGACACAAAAACAGGTCAAACCAAGGCATTTCCACACCCTGAGGATCTGCTGCCGGCCCAGCAGGGAGATGTGCTCCAGTCAGAACAAAAAGATGGACAGGGCTCAAAAGATGCTCCAGGTACCTTGACAGCACAGAGGAAGAGATGGCTTTCCACTTTCCTTGGCTGAAATCAGTGACCACCATGTTCCTTCCTTTTCCCTGCTTCTCTATCAGGAGAAATACCAACTTTCCAAAGGCATTCACGGCACACCTAACAGAAATATCCATCAACTTTAGCGACAACCAGGGAGAAAACATCTCCAAAGAAGAGATATCCCACAGGGTAGACCCAAGTGATCAACCTAGAGAACACACCTGGCCCGTGGCTATTGCTCCGGGGCAGCGGAGGGGCTGCAGCCTCATTCAGGAGAGACCCCCTGTTGATCCCTATGCCCTCGAGCTGTGCTAGGCACACCCCGAAGGTGGAAGGTCATTCATGCGAGACACGATGTGTTAGCAAACACGGGTAACAGACCGGTGAATAAAGCATGTGACGACAGAGGAGGGTGGTCTGGGAGGAAGGGAGGGGGAGGGTTCTGAGGACCCAGAGCCCACCAGGCAGGCTCAGCCCCTTCAGCCAGAGAGCAGCTCCCCAGGGGCAGAAGTGACTGTGCCCGTCTCGGGGAGAGGAGCTTTCCGCAGAAGCAGGGTGATTTCATCAGGCTTTCCGGCAGCCTGGATAGAGTAGCTCATGCGATTACCCAACTCCCTCTGTCCTGGTTCCACCCCTGCCACGGCTCCTGCAGGCCCCAGTCATCCTGATGGTGGAAGGCATCGCAGGAAATGTGTCCACTGGGGACGACAGGCACTTGGCCTCCGGACACCCACATTTCACTGGGGCACACACTGCAAATGATTTCTACAGATCATGCACATCTTTAACACATCAACTGCCACACTAGAAAAAAAATTTTTTTTCCTTGGAGCCAAAGTGTTTTATTATGAAAATAGAATAAAAACTTCAAAAACGAAACGATCCTTTCTAATTTAATGAAAAATTTGTTATTTTTGGTTGTTTTCTGTACAGGAGTTATATGCAACTTGAAAAATAGTTCTTACAGCTCCCGAAGTGAAGAGACGTGTGAGTTGCATATGCTTCACCAGGCCCCAGGCTCAAAACTGGCGTGAGTTAAATACAACTCACAAGGCAGTTAATGTGTTAAGCTCCCATTCCCCTTTTAGATCCCAGCCTCCCCTAAGCCTTGCCTACCCCAGGTCAGAAAGGTCATCCTCTGGGTGGCTGAGATGGACAAAGAGGGCTGCAGCCACTGGCCTGGGGACCCGTGTGCACTCTGGGCCTCACTGGGTTCCCTGCCCCATGTTCCAAGCTCAGGTGCCAGCTCTGGTGAAATGATTTTAAAGCAATACTGTAACAGTCTGGTTTGCAGCCTAGTGTCTGGTAAGTTCAGTTTGGGTGAATTATTGCTCCCAATGGCTTATTAACTTCCAAGGAAGAGAAATAATCTATTTCCTGGATCAGCAAAGTGGAGGACCAGAGCCCAAACGTGGCATCCTAACGAGAGCCATGTCCAGGCCCTGGACAGCAGGCAGCCCTGCCAGTACCTCTCTTAGCCCCACAGACCTTTCAGAAAGCCAGCAGGATTTCTGAAACAAGATGAGATCAAGCCACAGAAAGCAGGGCTCAGCCTAGTGGAAGTGGTGGAAAATAATAGCCCTGAAGGGGGAAATGGACTAAGTGGTGAAATAGTGCATAATTTAAATCCATTTGGCAGCAAGGAAAAATCAAACAACCCTATCAAAAAGTGGACAAAGAACATGAACAGAAACTTTCCAAAAGAAGACAGAATAATGGCCAACAAACATATGAAAAAATGCTCAACATCTCTAATCATTAGGGAAATGCAAATCAAAACTACAATGAGATATCACTTATCTCCAGTAAGAATGGCCTTTATTAACAACTCCCAAGACAATAAATGTTGGCATGGATGTGGAGAGAGAGGAACACTCCTACATTGCAGGTGGGACTACAAACTAGTTCAACCTCTGTGGAAAACAATATGGACATAACTTAAAGCGATACAAGTGGATCTACCATTTGATCCAACAATCCCATTACTGGGCATCTACCCAAAAGAACAAAAGACACTCTATGAAAAAGACACCTGCACTCGAATGTTTATAGCAGCACAATTCACAATTGCAAAGATGTGGAAACAACCAAAGTGCCCATCAATAAATACATGAGTGTATTAATAAAATGTGGTATATGTATACCATGGAGTACTATTCAGCTATAAGAAACAACGGTGATATAGCACCTCTTGTATTTTCCTTGAATAGAGCTGGAACCCATTTTACTAAGTGAATTATCCCAAGAAGGGAAAAAGAAGCACCACATGTACTCACCAGCAAAATGGTATTAACTGATCAACACCTAAGTGGACATATAGGAATAACATCTATCTGGTGCCGGGCAGGTGGGGGGAGGGGATGGGTACATACATACATAATGAGTGCGATGCGCACCAACTGGGAGATGGACTTGCTGGAAGCTCTGACTTGGGGGAAGCAGGCAAGGGCAATATATATAACCTAACATTTGTACCCCCATAATATGCTGAAAAATAAATAAATGCATTGGAAGACTTTCCTCTCCCAAATTGTTTAGGGCAGAACACCATGCTGGTTACATTAAAAATAAATAAATAAACTCTAAAGAGAAGACGGAAAGATTGCCTGGTTACAGGTCACTTCCTTCTCGCCATGGCTTACAGCTCCACCTTTATCCCTTAAGGGAGTGGCTTTGGGCCAGGGTGTTTGCCCTTCCATCCTGCCCTAGTGGCATGTGGCAACAGCCAGAGACGATTTCAGTGCCACAGATGGAGGATGCTGCTGGCATCCAGCAGGTAGGGATGAGGGACGCTGCTAAACACCCTGCAGTGCACACAACAGCCCCACCAGGGATGTCACAGTGCTGGTGAGAAACCTTGCCTTTAGAGCAGAAGTCTTCTAATCTCACCAACTCACCTGCTGCTGTTTATGTGAAAACTCGTGATGAGGGAGGCCACAGCAGTGCCTGAGGACACACACAAAGTCCTGGACCGTCTGACATTCATTCCAAGAGGACTAGCGGCAGCTCCGGTGGCCCACTTCTCTGGTTACGAGCACCATCCTCTGAAGTCCACTGAGCATTTGGTCACACACTACAACTGTCAAGTGACAGGCAAAGGGGGAGCTGCATGGAACCTGAGTCCTCTAAGAGTTTACCGTCTGAGATGGGCAGTAATGACTAGGCAGAGGTAGAAAGGTGAGATGGGCAAATAACTAAAGCATAAGACCAAACCAGCTATACAAGCCGGGAGAGCATCCTGTGAGGAGACGCCATGGAAAGGTGAGGAGAAACTGCCGCAGGTGAGCAGGCGGCATCAAAGGAATGTCAGAGCATAAGGACGGGGGAGCGCCATGCGCGTCTCCGTTTATCCATTGACTTTCACCACGTGCTTCCAGGCACGCACAGGCGCAGAAGGCATACTCCTCGCTCTCCAAGAGCTTGCAGTCAAGCCAGCACGATAAGATTCACACACAAATAAGCAAAATACAAAAATACCATCTCGAGAGGTGCAGCAAGTACATGCGATAGTGTTTAGGGAGAGAAGTGATGCATGCACGTGGTGGAACTGGCCTTCGGCTTGAGCCTTGATGTGTGGGAGCTACTGAGGGGCAGACCTAGCCTGAGAGACCAAAGCCAGGTGGCAGCAGGGGTGTTAGGCGCCCTGTTGATAAGAATCTCTGCAAAGTGGGTGCTGGCTTAAGATAATCCATCCTGGCTTGTCTTTTGACTACTCAACAAAGCTCCCAAGCTCTCTGTGCTTCCTTTTCTCCTCCTTCCCATTTGCAGGCAACAAAACCATATCTAGCTGCTCTTACGAGGAGCCACACACGGAGCGGAGCCTTGTGTAGCTAAACATCGAGACGATCAGCCTCCGTGAGGCTCAAGAGAGCTGCTGGCAGTTATAACTCACAGGCCATCTGATGTTTTCCTCTGTCACACGCCTCTGGCCTCACCCAGTAACAGCAACTCTGAAAACTACCCAGGCAAAAAGCCATATGCTTTGAAGACGCACTAATATTTCAACAACCTAAACGGTTTCCAGGACAAAATCTTTACCAGGGCCGCTAACAAGTAGTCAGACCGGCTGCCCTGTGAGCGCTCTCCCCTGACAATGAACCAACAGAAAGGTCAGCAGCCGGACACAGAAAGAGGAGAAGGGTCCTGAATAAACACAGACAGTTTAATCAACCGTGAAGAAATCCAAGAGTTGCCTGAAAGTGCTTTGTCAGGAAGAGAAGCGAGGTCCCTGCCCTCAGAGAAAGGCGAGGAAGGTTGGAGGTCACTTCGGCTGACCACAGAGGCCCCGTGCAGGCAGTGGCATTCCCCGGTGGGAATCGTGGTGGGAAGGCTCACAGCAGAAGGGCAGGGAGGGAGGAGGAAGCCGGCTTTTGGGCATTTTCCAAGGACCTGGCAAACAAATGTTCCCCAGAAAGAAGATGAAAATTTAGCTCAACAAGAAGGAAAGACACTGTTTTTAGAACCACTATGATTACTCACTTCAGAGCTGGTTACTCCTTCCGGCTTTTATCCATCATTTCTGATTCCGACTCCTCAAGATGGTTGAAAAACTGGCTTATTCAAATTACATCAATGTCCTTTACTTGCATCTAAAAAATCAAGGTCAAGCTATGTTGATATGTGAAAGGGAATTGAGATGAATGAGGGCTGACTCCCAGTCTCTGGCCCTATAATTACTTTCTTTGTAAGCCTGAATACCCAATCAGATGGACGCGTTCTCAACACATTTTGTCATATTTATGGAATACCTTTAAACAATGGAATCTGGAAATTCCAGCAACATCTGTGTCCAAATATATCTTATCCTGTTTATGTTTTTAATTGAAAATTAAACAATTCTAGATGAACTAATCTATGTTATCATAGAAACTGCATATTTTTAGGTAATTCTTGAAAGCATTTTGCAAACCATTAAAGTAACTTGATATCATGCTATGTCTTTAAAAGATATTTCTCAGCTGTGAATACTACTGGAATGAAATCAGAGGTAGCATTCAAAAAGCCTGCAGCATGAAAAAGTTTGCATAAAATTTTGATTCCACTAGAAAACCATTTCTTTTAGGACAGTCTTACCATTCCCTATTGGCTCATGTAATATGGTTGGTTTGTTCTCATTCTAATTAAAGATGCAAGTCATTAAAGAGTTTTTAACTTCATAAAGGCAAAGATTTCTATTAATGTTATCAAGCATCGTTGGGCTTCTAATCAGACACTCTCTTTAGGCAAAAGAACTATAACTTTCAAACCCTCTATGAAGCAACTCTCATCTCTACACAAAGATTTTCACTTCTGTGATCTGGCCTGACAAAATGCTATTGTTTCATACTCAGTCAAGTTTATTTTAGGTCCAGGCCTCTGTGCCCAACAATTTGTATGGGAAAACAGTTGTGCTGGTTTTCTTCAATCCTTGAAGATTATGAAAAACTTAAACCAATTAAAGGATTCCATCACCTAAAGTTTCATGGGAGGAAATTACTTTTTTTTTTTTTACAGAGTCTTGGTCTGTTGCCCAGGCTGAAGTACAGTGGCATCATCTTAGCTCACTGCAACCTCAGACTCCTGGGCTCAAGCGATCCTCCTACCTCAGCCTCCCAAGTAGCTGCTACTATAGGCATGCACCACCACACCCAGCTAATTTTTTCTATTTTTAGCAGAAATGGGGTCTCGCTCTTGCTCAGGCTGGTCTCAAACTCAAACTCCTTCTCTGCTCAAGCAATTTTCCTGCCTCAGCCTCCCAGAGTGCTAGGATTACAGGCGTGAGCCACAGCACTCCACCGGGAAATTACTTTTAAATGAGTTTGGGAGTTAACAAGAAAATAATTTTCCCTTGAAATTACCTGCTGGTACACAAGAGGAAGTAGTGGCTCACGCATGAGGAAATATGTTGTTGTTTTCAATATTAGATGAACAAGGAGACCAATGCACATTTCCCCAATTTATCTTTTCATTTTAGAAAATGACTGAATTTAAGTACACCTCAACTGCTTAGGACAATAAAGGATACATGAGGCATGGATAGCAAAAACACAACTGGTGAGTAAAATAAGAACACTAGGGATCATTTTTGTTTCTGTGTTTATTAACACTTATCCCAACTGTAGACTTTGGTTATCATGGTCACGTGGTATCTATGTCATGGGCCACACTGTATAAAATCCCACAGACCATGACAGGCAGGAAGAGACTTCTGCCTTGTTCTCCCAGTGTTACAAACAGCCCGGTCACAGCGAGTGCGCTGTGAGGCTGGCTGTCCAGGGCCCCAGAACCTCCCACTTTGCCTCTTCGCCTGCCTCTGTCTGCCCCCTAGTGGCCAACTGGGGAAAAGAGGGAGTCGGCCTGCGGGGTCTCAGAGAGGGCTGAACTACACAGCTCCCTGCCTCTGCAGCCCTGTTCTCAGGTGCTGTCTATTTCCTGGAGAATGAAGCCTCTGCCTTGGGTGTCCCGGAGCCTCCTTAGGATGCACGCCTCCATTTCAGTGTCATTTTCCAGGAGCTTTCAGTGTACCTGTGCCTGCCCTGATCCCCAACTTGTAGGCACCTTCCCTAAGCAATCCCCACATAAGATATGCCTTTCCCAGGAAGCACAAATTATTCCTTCTTTGAGTACTGCAAATTGTAAAGAGCCAACAGAGGACTGTGCTATTGAATATGTTGCCACTATAAAAATCCCTTGTGTTTTCAAGCACACATCTCTATAGCCATTCACTTATTCGTCAGAAACCTACTAGGTGCCAGGCCCTGGAGACACGGAAGAAACCAGGGTGAGGCTCCAGCCTGGAGGAGCCCGTGGCCCAGAGAAGCGTTCATCCGTCATTGATTGCCACGTGACTTGATGCATGCTGCTAAAGAGACAGCGGTGCTGTGCTGCGGGAACAGTGGCCAGGGGGGAAGAGGTATTGGATTTGCTGTGGGTTCTTGCCACAGCAAGGCTAAGCCAGCACCTGCTTTGTCCAAATGACTCGAGTAAATAAATGAGGCCAGCACAGGCCGTCCTGACACCACGCACCTCTAGAATACCCTGGCTGTGCTGGGAGCTGTTGATGTCAGCTGGGTATTTTCATCCCTGCCCAAGTCACAGTGATCTGACTGTACCAGCCTGTGGGGATGTTGCTAAGAGGAGGCAGACAGTGCCATGAGCTCCCTTAGATGACGATCGGCATGATTTTCCCCGCTGTGGCGGTGCTCAGCTCTTGCCAAAGCTCTGTTCTGCTTTGCTCACTTCAAGCCTCACTTAATTTTTTGGAAGCCCGGTTTCCACACTGCTGATTCACAGATATGAAAGACTCAGAAAGAAAAAAAATGTAATTATCTCAAATGACTCAAGAGCCCTCCTTGGCTCTGTGCTCTGTGTACAGACTTGCACTTTAGAGCTGAGGGTGATATTATCATCTGTGTAGGAAAAACTGGAAGAAAAACAGAGTAATGTTCTTCTAAACTCCTGGCTCTCAGCAAAAATTAGTGTAGGAAGGATGGATTCTCAGCCTTGGCCTGACGGTTGAATACCTAATCCACAGGTGAGGGCACCTGTACAGAGCCCCAAAAGGTGTCGAGCTTCCCGGGGACGCAGGCAGTGTCTGGTTGGCCTGTCTCCCTGACGCAGTAAGCGCTTGTTGGACAGGCGGTCCTCACCTCTAGCTCTGTGAGCCCCCTGAGTCCTAGGAGAAATAGGAATTAGGAAATTAAATCAATTGACAGGCCTTACACCCTAGATTTAAGATTTTTGAACAAATAAGAAAAATTTACTTGCCTGCTACAAAACTGCTAAAAGAGACAACAATCAAAGAAGGGTGAGAATCACCTAAAGGAGAGGAGAGGCCAATCAGTTACTGTTCCACCCAGCTGACCAAAGTACCTTCCACAGTGTAGGAAAACAAGTCCCCTCCAGGCAGTGTCAGCCACTGCCATGGGGCCGCCCAGGGGTGACCTCTGCAGAGAAGAGAGGAGCTGCATGCAGTAGCAGATGGTGCTGTGCTAAAGGCTGCAGGATGTGTTTGGGGGGGGAGCAATGCAAACACGGAGCCCCTGGAGGCATCTGCCCCAGGGCACCCTTCCTCCCCTCCCCAGAGGAAAGCAGCCTACGTCCCCAAGAGAGGCAGGGGTGGTGTGGCTGGACAAGGGGCAGCAGCAGGAGTGGGAAAACAGAGCCAACAACTCTGGGAATTGGCCTGAAATCCTTGGTTTTCCCTAAGGCTATTGCAGCCTGAGGGAATGAGAGTGACCTCTAATTGTAAATGTTGTCCACTCTTCAAATTTTGTAATTAGGCTAAAGAAACTCCAACAGCAATTTTAGGATGCTGGTATACTTCAAATTATTTCCCTATGCCCCAGCTTTGGGTTCCATTCAGTTCTCATTCTCCCTGCACTTCTCAGTTTTTCCTCTGTGCACCCTCAATAGCACCCGTAACTCATTCATTCATTCAACAAAGATGGATGGAATGCCAGCTGTTTACCACGTTGTTCTAAGTACCAGGAATACAATGTCAGCAAAGACAGGCATGGTCTCTGCCCTCAGAAGAGGACCCTGATCAAACACCCACACCAATTAATATAACACTGCAATGTGTGGGGCCCTGAGTATGTAATGAAGGGATTTGATTTAATAAGGGATGTCAGGGAAATCTCTGAGGAAATGATGAGTGAAATGAAATCTGAAGGAACAATAGGATTAACTAGGTCCTGCCAGTCCTGTGCATCTCCTGGGGTGGGATGACACATGTGTTTTCAAGGCCATGAAAGATGGCAAGTGTGACTTGAGCACAGACAGCAAGGGGTGGGGGGTGAGACCCCTGACCAGGCGGGACACAGGACAGGCCACGCATAGGGAGCCACTGGAGCAATTAAGTGCATGGATCCAGTGTGCACTTCAGAAAGATTTCAAACTCCTCTGGAGAACGGCTTTGGAAAGGTTGTAAGGAAGTGTCACTAGGTCAGTTAGGAAGCTGTTTGTTACAGGTGAGTTGGAGACTAGGAGAAGAGCAATGGAGCAGAAGACGGGGGAAGGTCAGGACCTGGTGATGGAACGGACAGGCTTACGACATACTCCACACGTGCAAGATCCTCCAACAGCCTTCCCTGCAATAAGTCCCTTTCTTCACACACTAGATCACCATTGAGATAACAACACAATCTTCTCCTCTTTCAGGTTTCTGCCTAAGGATGTCCTTTTGGCTTGTCCCGGGGGATACCTTCACAGTTTCTATAAGGCTTTCTCTAAAAAAAGAAGGGGAGGAATGTCCACAATGCCTGGGACATAGCAACTGCAAGGTCATGGATTGAAATGGTGATAACAACTCAGATTACAGGACTGTCAATTTTCAAGCTCCCGTGACCTTAACTGGTGGGCCGAGGGGCTGGGATCAGATCAAGAGAGCTTCACGCCACTGTGGGCTGCTGTAGCCTTTGCTCGGCTGATTGAGTGCTTAAAATACATGTGTTATCCAATTAACAGAAGGAGTCTTCTCCCAAAAGCTTTGAGGATGCTGTAATAAGATTCTTGCATCAAGTGAAAGTAGAACTGCTTACCAGATGCCCTCTTCTGCCTGGGATCCTCGCTTCTGTGAAACAGTCAGTGATCCGTTCCAGGAATGGTGCTTTAGCATGGTGCTGTGCCAGGCACCAGTGATGGGAACATGAAGAAATGTTTCCTACCCTCTAGGAGTTACGCCTAGCAAGGCTGCCAATGAAGACAGCACAGGCAGAGGCAAAGCCCTGTGAAGACCACAAGGCCATGGACAGGAGCTCTGCATGACTGAGTTAGGAAGGTTTTCCAGAGGTCACATCTGAGCCAGGTGTCAAGGGTGAACAAGACTTTATCTTGTGGAGAAGAGGCTGGCCGTTTGGTTTCAAGCAGAAGAAACAGCTCCTACAAAGATACAAAGACATCTAAGAGTAAGATGTGGCCAAAAAGTGGCCCCAGGGCTATGGAGGGGCTGTAGCAGGAGGTGAGACTGGAGACAGAACTCTGGTGGGGTCACTGGAGGGTCTTAATTACCTGCTTTGGGGAATATGCTGCATTAGTTTTCTATTGCTACAAAACGAATTACCCCAACACTGAGAAGCTTAAAACAATAAACATGTATTTTCTTATAGTTTCTATGGGTCAGCAATCCAGTTGCAGCTTAGTGGTCCTCTGTATCAGGGTCTTATGGGCTATAATCAAGGTGTCTGCCAGGACCAAAATCAGCTCAAGGTTCTGCTGAGGGAGGATCGCCTTCCGGGCTCCTCACATGGCTGTTGGCTGGAGACATCAGATCTTTCCCACATGGGCCTCTCCACTGGGTGGCTTACAACATAGCAGTCGGCTGAGAGAGACAGAGAGAGGAGAGAAAGAAAGGCTTTTTGTAACCCCATCTTGGAAGTGACATCCCATCACTTTTGCTGTGTTCTATTAATTTAAAGCCAAGCACCAGGTCCATCAAGCCCACATTCAAGGGGAGGTTTACACAAAAGCATGAATATCAGGAAGTGGTGGTTACTGGGGGCTGTTTTAGAGGCTACCTACCACATATACCAAGAGCTATTTAAGGCCCCATCTCAGCGTTACTCCATTCTGCATAAATTATATAGAGAGACATATAATTTCACTGCATATTAATTTGTTTTTGTTGACGGGTACATTCTGGTCCTTAGGAGCCCTGAAGAACAATGTGCTTCATTTCACATCTCTCCCTAAGGATTTTACACAACCCACTTGGCACTCACACTGTTATTATTAGATGGATTCAGCCAAAAGCTGCCTGTGGGGGTAGAGATCAGTGGGAAGGTAAAGCGGCAGAGAAAGGAAGTGATCGGGACCCTAAGTTGAATAAAGAAAAAGGTCACATGCCAACTGCAAATTAGAAATGAAACTGAGTGGAACTAAGCATCCTAGTTGACAGCTCACACACACAATGCCAACTTGCCACAGCTTGGCAGGGCCCTTGGTTTTCCCACATGCAACTGAAAATAGCTAGCATTCATCCTGAGGGAGTGCTACTAAAATAAGTAACTACTGGGAGCTATACCTCACCGCTCATTCAAGCTGGAAGCAGTCTGCAATTATTTTGCTGAAATTAGATACAAATTAAGCTACCACTTCCGGCACTCTTTCTCCTATACTATATTACAAAAAGAAACTGATTTTTGAACTCTGAAAGTTTAGATGTTGCTTCTTAAAAATAAATGTGATCTCTGATAGAACATCCAAAAAGACAGATTATTGATATTATCTCCTGTAAGATCTATCCCTTCACAAGCCAGGTCTTCTGATTTTCAGACCTGGGTCTAGTTGTTCTGGGTGCAGAGTGATAGGCCAGTAAAGGTAATTGGGGAGGAGGAGTGACTTGCCCACAGGTGAGATACACTGTCTTCAAACTTATCCGGATGGAAAAGGTGGCTAGCATAGGATTGTCCACTGGGATGTATGTTGATGGTCCTGCTGCCACTTTTTTTTATAATAGTCTGAAAGATTTCTCGGTTTGCATCCATTTGGACAGAGAAGTTCTGCTATGTTTTAAAAGCAAAACAGAATAAGCGAACATACATGAACACAAACCATAATAATGATCATTTGGGGGATCTCATCTCAAACTTGGCTAAAAGTATTAATAACTGTCATACAGATAGTGGGAGTATTTGGGGGTTTTCTGCTATGAAAGACCCCCCTCCTGAATTGTACTATCTCGTTAATAAAACAGCATCTTCTTTGACCTGCCTATGCAAGAAGTAGGTGAATTTCTAAGAGCCCAGTGGTGCTAGACCCTAGGAGGTTATGGTGGCTTCCAGCATAGGGCTGTTTCCCCACAACTTTGAATTCCAATTTCCCTTTGCAGAAGGCCAAGTTACTTTCTTCTCATTGTTGGAGACATTAGTCATGGATGAAGCACATTCAAAACTCCCCTGCCCCTGCTTTTCACACACCCCACACATTTCCCACCCTATATTCTCATTCTGATCTAGCGAATCTTAGAAATGACATATTGAATGAAGAGCCTTCCTGGTAACCTTTCCTTCTAGGTGTAGTTTTATTTTTGCGGGGTTTTTTTTTTTGGGGGGGGGGCATGTATCTCCATCATTCTCAAATGAAAAATTGCTAAAAGATCACCTAAGCAAATCCTTAAGATGGTGAATCTCTACAACCTCACTTTAACTTTAGGGATTATTTCACTTCTTGCCTTAACTTTTACAATTATTTTCAGTGTCTCCTTTTCCAGATTTCTTAGGACTTGGAAAGAAAATGAAATGACGTTAAATGAAATCAAAGCAAATCGAGTGATCTGAAATGAACTGATGACAGCAGTTTCCCCAGACAGCGTGCAGTCCTTCCCGCAGCACATCTCCCTCCCAGCTGTGGTGAGTTCAGCTCCACATTTATTCTGACACAAGAAAGCAAAGGCAAAGGCTAGTTGACCTAGATCAGGTGAAAATGCAAAGCAACCACCTTTCCTGGACAACCTTCTGCCTTCCCAGCCCTCATAGCCTGAAAACTCCTGTCTGAAAAAGCAGGACTTTAAGTCCTACTTAACAGGAAAAAGTCCTGCCCTTAACGATGAAGGGGAGAACATGCCCTGCACAGCACAAGCTGGGCCTCCGTAGGGTGCATCTTGGCAGAAGGGCTTCTCTTTCCCCTCCAGCTCACTGCAGGCCCAACCCTTGCAGAAGCCATTTCCCCTGAGCAGGGAAAGGTAAACTGAGATGGACAACACTGGACTTCAAAAGATTGCACACAAGGGGAGGAGGGGTTGAGGATATCAACGTGCAGAAATTCAGTAGGCTACTGTCGCATTTTATTTTCACCATTTAGGAAAGGTTTTGATTAGCATCCTTTTCCCTTCCTTGATTTAGAAAAATAAAAATAAAAAGTGCTCCGAGGAACAAGATCACAGGATGAACGAGGAAAAGGGTGCTCGCCTTTTCTCTGCCAGTGTGAAATAGCTGCCCAGGTTTTCTTACTCATCCCTAGGCGGCAATGAAGGGCCTGCCTCCCTGCGGACTCCGCCGCCTTTCGTAGCTCCTAACATCAGGTGACACCTCCAGACCTCCCATTCCCCGCCCCCAGCCCAGATAAACGTCCTCAGTGACCTTTAAAGTTTTCAATGTAATCAGCGGTATCGCTTTGGAGAGGCAAATCCTCCCGACTTTCCGAGTTGGCAGGGATCCGGGGCCCGCCCCTCCGCAGGGCCGGGAGAGCGTTTCCATCTGCGCTCGGGAAGAGGGAACGGCCTCTCTGTGTCCCCAGCGAGGGCGCCCAGGCTGGAACACGCTCTCCCGCACGGGCAGCAGCTTTCCCGGGGGCCTTGCCTAACGCGGGCCAGGCGCCTCCCCCGTGAGCCCCAACTCGTTCCCGGCAGGCTGACCCCAGCCCTGGCCCCAGCACTGACTTTCCCAGCAGCGGGGGAGGAGGCGCGGCGGCCCAGCGCGGGCTGCGGGCGGGCAGGGGCTGCGCATGCGCGGACGGGGCTGCGCCCGCCCCAGCCCCCGGGCGAGGACGCAGGCGTCAGCCGCGCCGCTGGCGGCAGCACTGGAGAGCGGAGCTGCGGGGATCCTGCAGTCCGTCCCGGTTCTTGGCTGCACGCTGGGAACACTGCACCACTGGAAGGGAGCCGCAGAATGTTAAAGTCACAGGCTCCTTGGAGGGCATCTGCGTAATGCCTCTCTTTTACAGATGAGGAAATTGAGGCCCAAAGAGGCGACGAGAAAGGCCCAAAGCTACATATTTGGCTCCTGGCACCTGGGACGAGAGCCAGCCCTTATTGGCAAGCTTAGGCGCTCCTTCAGTGAGCGCTTATCAAGCACCTGGATACTGTGTACTTAATGCATGTGTGGCGGTGAAAGGTAGCCACCGATGCCTAAGAAGCAGTGTAACTGTGGCCGCCCCGGTCTTGGGCATAGAATCGGATGGACCTGGGTTTGACTTGATGATTTGCAGGACGACATCGCTAGTTGGATGGCCTTAGTGAGGAAGTTAACCTCTCTACACTTTAGTGTCCTGGTCTGCAAAACGTAGATTTAAAATAGGCTAGAGTCGTGGGATTTAAATGAGATGAGGTACAAATTGCTTAGCACAGTGCCTGCATGTGGAAGGCACTCAAATAAATATTCCCGCAATGTTTTTAGAAGTAGAAAGTGCTAGGCATGTAGGCGTTCAGGAGACAATCACGGTACTCGTTTCCAGACAGAAGTCACGAGGAACAAGAGGGAAGGTGCTTTCCCACGTTCGGCACTTGGGGAGACTTACACAGCGTTACAGGATCTGGCATGACGGGAAAGGAGGAAACGGCCTCTGTTAATCTTTCCTCCAGCTTCTCTTGCCCTCCCGCCCCCGCGCCCCAACTCTCTCTGTGACTCATGGTGGCTGCAGAGAGACATCCGGACTCTACTCTTATCGGGGTGAAATGTGTTCTGCTAGATGGTGTAATTTACGTTTTAAGTCCCACTTTATCACAGGGGCCTCTCTCCTCTTTTCCTACATAGGACAGACACAAGAAAAAGGAAGGGAGTTAAGTGGGTAAAAAGGAATGGTGGATGAGCAGCTAAGGTGTCAGATTGGCATCGTCTGGGATCATAGATCATCCGAGTTGAACATCATCTGGGTGGACTCCCTCATGTTAATGAAGAACAGTGAAAACCTGTCAAAGGTAAAATGACGTCAAGTTTCAGACGCAAGTTAGAGCCCTGGTGTTCTCTATCCCTGTAGTTCATTCATCCATTCTACACTCACTACTTTGGGTGGATACCTTATACACTGCCAGGCACAAGGTTCTGCCTCGGTGGGTAGGGAAAGAGAAAAGGAAACTAGCAATCCAGGGAGATTCCCAGATTCTTCTTTGTGCGGGTTCATGGAGGGTGATGTCATTTACTGTGATAGCAGGGATAAAAATTAGTCTGAGAGAACAATGGCATGTTTTGAACATGTTTTTGATGGACTCGTGGGACATCCAGGTGAAGACCTCCAGGGGGAGTTAGGAACATGGGTGCCAAGCACAGGAGAGAGGCCTGGGTACGCACTGGAGTCAACCTAGATAGAGGTGATCACTGAAGCTGAGGCAGGGCCAAGATGGCCCAGAAGAGCAGTCAGAGTGAGAAGGTCATGGGATCATGAGACCTGAACCTTTACAGATACCAGCTTCTAAGGATCAAATAAGACCAGGCACGGTGGCTCACGCCTGTAATCCTAGCACTCTGGGAGGCTGAGGTGGGGAGATCACTTGAGCTCTGGAGTTTGAGACCAGCCTGAGCAAGAGTGAGACCCTGTCTCTACCAAAAATAGAAGGAAAAAAGAAGGATCAAATAAGAGATCCTGAGGAATGGGTGGAGAAACTGTAAGAAAAAGAGGAAAAAAGTGGCATCAAGCAGTTCACATCAAGGCTGTCCAGGTTGAGGAAGTGGTCAGGAGTGGGAAATGCCACAGAGATGTCAAGCAAATTAGCACCGGAATGTGTCCATTGAATTTGACAATGAGGAAGTCATTGATGACTTGTGTGACATTGGTTTCAGTGGGGATGTGCAGACAGAAACCAAATCACAATAGATTAGAAGCAAATGGAGTCCAGGAAGAGGAGAAGCAGCGGTAATGGGTATAAACCACCTCTTCAGGAGAGTTGGTTGGGCAAGGAGGGGGAAATTATAGCTGAACGTGGAGGCTGGGTGAGTTTTTGTCACTGTTTTCGTTTGTTGCTTTTTTTTACCGTGGGAAACTAGAACATGCTTATAAGGAAGGACAAGCAAGAGGGCTCAGCTGGGAGGAATAGGTTGGAGTCTTTCTGCAACCCACAGCACCACCACATCGTGAGTGAGAGGAGAGGGGATTCTGACCCCAGCTAACCCAAAGGAAGGGCTCCTCCTCCGTGGTTCTTTTCCTTCTACTGTACTAAAGGAAGAAGTGCGTTTGGAAGGTTTAGGAATGGACTTGGGAGCTGTTTTGTTTTGGGTTTTTTTTGAGACAGAGTCTTGCTTTGTTGCCCAGGCTAGAGTGAGTGCTGTGGCGTCAGCCTAGCTCACAGCAACCTCAAACTCCTGGGCTCAAGCGATCCTTTGGCGTCAGCCTCCTGAGTAGCTGGGACTATAGGCATGCGCCACCATGCCCGGCTAATTTTTTCTATATATATTAGTTGGCCAATTAATTTCTTTCTGTTTATAGTACAGACGGGGTCTCGCTCTTGCTCAGGCTGGTTTCGAACTCCTGATCTCGAGCAATCCGCCCGCCTCGGTCTCCCAGAGTGCTAGGATTACAGGCGTGAGCCACCTCGCCCAGCCGGGAGCTGTTTAAAATAAGCTTGGTCTGTGTCAGGATCTAGCCATGGGCAAATCAGCCCAATTTGCATGTGGAGCTGTGCCCAATGCTACACAAATAATGTGAAATAGATACTGTTATTTGCACATCAGTCACAACTGCAGGTAGCAAGCAACTGAAACCCAGCTCAGCTCAACCAAAAATGGCATCCATGGGTTTGCGGAACTGGGTAGACTAGCTTTAGGCCTGATTAGATTTCTGGGACTTAAAGGGTGTTGTCAAGTACAATAGGGATAATGTTTGAAATTATCAGCGTAGTTTTCTCTTTTACCTTTTAGAGCACATGAACTTAGTCTATTCGAGGCATTCATCTGCCTAAGAAGAGATGAAAATTCTTCCTAGAAGTTATGCAAAGAGAAAGAAAAAGTAACACTCAGCTTCTGACATTCAAAAATAGAGTTTTGTAGAAAGGCAATATACCCTGGATATTTCATTGCCTTCCTCTTCACAGGATTGAGGACTGAGTTTTGGTAGACTACACCTTAGGATTTTATGTATGGGAGGTCTAGACAAGGAGAAAGGGAAGATTATGTGAGGACAGAAGCAGCAAAATAAGACAAGAGGCCTGGAAGGAGGGATTGTGTTGGAAAAGTGATGATTAACCACAAAAGCAGAGGAAGACCTTATTCCCCACGTCCCCTGCAGAATTATGAGAGGAAGAGCCTAGTGTTGGTCTGGCAGAGGGAGGCCCTATTATGGGCTTTTCAACCTATTCTAGGTCCCCAGGTAGCTTCGACTCTATGCACACATACCAGCAAGTCTGTGGCCAGCTTACTGCAGGTGATTACTCTAGCAAAGTGACTCAGTGGTGTGGGCTGCCAAGTAGACCCCTGGAACCAAGACTGATAGGAAGTCACAGCCAGAAGTCAGAGTCTGTAGCAACTGGAAGAACAGAGAAGAGACTAAGCCAGCCAGGGAGCACCTTTGGGAGCACTGCCTCAGATGGGCCACAAGCTCACCATCCACAGACTTCCACATCAGAGGCTGGTGGTCCACCCAAGACAGGCAAATAGTGAACATTGCCCTGAGATGAGCACACACAAGGCATATGCACCCAAGGACCAATACAAGGCTAAGAATTCCCTTCCTCTTAACACCATAAGGACACATAAGCCATACACACCCCTGCCACCTCCACCCCAAATACCCTACAGGGATGATGATCTTGCTAGTCTCAAACTCCTGGCCTCAAGTGATTCCCCCACCTCGGTCTCCAAAAGTGGGGTTTAACTTTTTAAAACTTTCAGGGAGCAAAGTATCTCCATGGCATAAAAGAATTGGCAACTGAGCACTTATCCGTACATTGTTCAGTGTAGATAATTAATACTGAAAATCGTAAAGCAGGATTTTTCCTTGTTATCACACTGATTAAATTAATTTTAATAGTTAGATTGGGAATTATAATCAACTTAATATCTAGAATAATTTAAAGCTTAGTTCAATCCATAAATAGTTCCATTTAGGAAATGTCCAATCTCTCTCCTAGTTGATATAAAGACAACCATTTTACTTTTCCTCAGTGTATTCTTTTCTCTTTTTTAAGAATCACTCTTAGCCTGAGCAAAAGCAAAACCCTGTCTCTATCAAAAAAAAAAAAAAAATAGCCAATATGGTGGTATGCACCTGTAATCCCCGGCTACTTGGGAGGCTGAAGCTGGAGGATCGCCTGAGCCCAGGAGTTTGAGGCTGCAGTGAGCTATGAAGATGCCAGCACGCTAGCCCCAGGCAACAAAGTAAGATACTGTCTCAAAAAAAAAAAAAAAAACCCCCCCCTCTCAAAACCTAAGAGAAACCATATAATTAATTATTGCCTGTAAAAAAAAAAAAACTTTTTGTAATAAACAAAAAGTTTAATTATTCCAGGTACAAAGAGATAGTAAAGGCAGCATCAGATTTTCTTCACAGGCTCTGGTTTTCAGTACCATAAAACATTTCCACATAATTAAAAAAAAATTAGCCCTAAGTAAAAGAAAATATTTACGGTCTAAGAAAAGGAAACATAATCATTAATTTTACTCTAAAATGTATGCTGTGTCTTTTGGAAAGAATATTATTCTGTAAGAGA